TGGGTAAAACCTCCGGTGGCAGAAAGCCAGTGTCCTGCCTTCTTTGATTCAGCACCTCTGTCCCGCCTCAATATTAGCTAAGTCAGTTTCTTCAGGAACAGACGTCAGGCATCAGCAGGAACAGCCAGTCTCCCCCAGATGCAGCTGAGTGCTCTGTTTCTAGACGTGAACGATACTGGCATGTCTCAGGAAACAAACCTTAACCAAATGGGTCCCAGCCATGAATCAGACTCCACTAGACTGGCACCCAGAAAAGGAGAAGAGTATTACCATATTTCATCAGTTTTAAGGGAAACATTTTAATCTTTCAGACTAGAATGTGTCTGTCCATCAATGCATGTTATTATTTAGTTGGAAGTATTTTTTTCCTCAGTGATATGTACAATGATATTGCCTCTCATCACTGATAGCATCTGGGTGTCTATGAAGTATAATAATTACTAATGCAATCCTAGAGGTCAGATCCTATTGGACTTTCAGCCCTCAATATTTTTTACCATTAATCTCTTCTTTTCCCACTGAACTGTAAGTCCCATGAGGGAAGGATCTTCATCTGTGGGGCCTTGGGCAAGCTACTGAACCTTTATGAGCCTCGGTTTTCTCCTCAAATAAGGATAACAGTACCTGCTTCACGGTATTATAATTAAGGGAAGGAATGCATGGAAAGTAAATAGCACAATGTTCTAAAAAATATATTTGCTCAACTAATGTTACAGAGTAAGGACCAATCCACACAACTCACTTCTTTCAGTGCCTAGACGCTGAAAGGGGCCCAAGAGGCCAGCCTGGGCAGTCTCTGTAACCTACTATTGGCTCCAGCCTCTCTGATCTTTTATTTGGTTCCGTTAATTCAATAAATTAAATTCTGGGGCAGCAGATGCTCTGAAGCTTCTGTCAGTGCTGCATTTATACACAGTACACGGCCTACTTCACATCCTCCTGGAGCTCACAAGAGCTTGCTGGAAAATCAGCCATATGGCCTATGACAAATTACTTGACGTGGCAATGATGACTGAGCAGACGGCTGCCTCCCTAATCTCTCTGCGGAGGTGCAAACGCAGCCTGAGAACCACTAGAGCTGAGGAGCCTGACGCACCGTTCTGCAAGGAGCAGAGAACAGGAGGAACTCACTGACATCCTGACTGGGACCCAGGTTCCAGCCACACTGGTAGCAGAGCCTGATATTCTGGGAAACCATCACCTGGTCCCTTTCTCACCATCTAACTTTTCCAGTCTCTTCAAAGACACATCTTTGTCCCCCCAAATTATGGGACAGTCTGTAGTCACCATCTGCAAAATGCTCGGCTTTATCCAATGGATCATAAAGACTTCCACGGGGCAGTACTTATGCTATTTAGATAATTTTCCCCTCTAGAAGGGAAACCTCACAGATGATTTCTATAGGGCTGCACTTTGTACCTTTCTTTGCAGAGCTGTGGGGTGGGGGTTACTGGAGCAGGCTACTATCAGGGGCCTCTGCCAGTCAACACACACCAGGGCCTCTGGAGACTGGAGCTTCTTCGAATGCCAATCTCCTCAGTTCCTGAAGGAATGGAAGCCAGAAAGGACAGCTTCCGGATGGCTGCAGAAGGGGCCGGTTTGATAATAATCAGAGCCACTGGGCCCACCCTGTTTACATGCTCTTAGAGCATTAAACTGGACCCTTTATCATGACCTGTCTTATTATTCTTAATAAAAGGGATTCTGGTTGCTGAAAACAGAAAAATAAAAATTGTGGCAAACCTGGGTTTGAGTTCTGGATTTGGCTCTTTTTCACTTGGGCAAATTATTTTCTCTTTTGATCCACACACAGTTTTCTTATGCACAGGGCTGTTGTTAAATAGCATAAAATAAACAAAAGCACCTGGCATCCAGGCTATAGCACACACCAAGTGGTCAACGGACAGCAGTTATTTCATTATAATTAATTCACCTCGCTGCACCTTTGTGTGAGGCCTGGTACTCTCTCCTAGATCTATTTCCAGTACCAAAGATGATGCTTGGTACAGGACTGACTTTAAAGCAAATTATTTCCATCTAACACCTCCAGCATAGGCACTGCACTAAATAAAACGTCATTTTATCTGCCACACAGCAGACACTCAATAAAAATGTGCTAAATGATTATCTTTTAAAAGTATTCTATTTTTTTTAAAGATTTTATTTATTTATTTGAGAGAGGGAGAATGAGAGATAGAGAGCACGAGAGGGAAGAGGGTCAGGGGGAGAAGCAGACTCCCTGCTGAGCAGGGAGCCCGATGCGGGACTCGATCCCGGGACTCCAGGATCATGACCTGAGCTGAAGGCAGTCGCTTAAGCAACTGAGCCACCCAGGCGCCCAAAAGTATTCTATTTTTTAACAGATATAAAATCCACCATTTTAACAATTTTAAAGGGTACAGTTCAGTGGTATCTGTTATATTCTAATGTGTTCTAACCACTGACATCTGATCCCAGCACATTTTTATCACCCCAACAAGAAAACCCATACCCTCTCCTTCCCTCAGCCCTTGGCAACCATTAATCTGTTTTCTGTCTCTATGGATTTGCCTATTCTGGACATTTCCTCTACACGGAATCATAAAATACATGGCCTGACGTGTCTGGTTTCTATCACTTAGCATCATGTTTTCAAGGTTCATCCATGTTGTAGCGTGCATCAGTATTTTGTTCCTTTTTATGGCTGAATAATACTCCATTGTATGGCTATAACACATTTTGTCAACCCATTCTTTGGTTGACGGACATTTGGGTTGGTGCCACTTTTGGGGCTATTGTGAACAGTGTTGCTGTGAATGTTCCTGTACAAGTTTTTGTGTGAACATATGTTTTCAACTCTCCAGGGTATATATCTAGGAGTGGAACTGCCAGGTCATAAGGTAATTCCGCTTCACATTGGAGAAACTGCCAGAATGTTTTCCAGAGCAGCTGTACCATTTAACATTTCCACTAGCAATGCATGAGGGATCCAATTTCTCCATATGTTCACCAATATCTATTTTCCAGTAAAAAAAAAATTAACACTATGTTCTGTTTAAAGTAGAAAAACAGGTAGTGAACCCACACACCCTACTTTTTTTTTCTTTACCGTCTAATCCCATTGCTTGTTGGCTGTGTGAGCCCTGGCCAGATATTTATCATGTGCTAGGACACTCTTCTGTAAAATGAGAGTAATAATATAATTTGTATAGATTGATATTTTATGTAAAAGCCTTAATACACACTAGGTACTCAATGTTTATTTCCTTTCTTTTCTTCACTTAGGAGTACTCAGGCAATTTGTAAGCTCCGTAAACATACACTCCTGGGCTGGGGTGTCAAGGCAGAGGATCTTATAATAATAGACTTCGGAAGTGAAAACTTAAATAGAAGTGCAGGGCGTATTACTTGCCAACAATTCTTAAACGTTAGGCAAGTTTCAAGCTTTAGCTTTAACAGAGGTATTCACCTGAGTATGTGTCTTGACATAATGGGACGTATAGGGACCCAGTGGCAGTCTTCAGCGAGCACACTCAATTAAAAGGACCAACAGTTGACCACCTGAGTTCTGCTTGCCAATCCTTCTCCTGTCCTCTGCCCAAACACACACTTCTGATGACGTCCAAGCCATAACCTGCGAAAGGCTCGGCTATAAACCTGGAATGACTTTATAGTCACCCTATACAGTAGCTGAATTGTGTCCTCCAAAGAAGACATGTTCCATGCCTGGTAGCTGTGAATGTGATCTTATTTGGAAATAGGGTCTTTACAGATGTAATCAAGTTAAGTGAGGCCATACTAGATGAGAGTGGGCCCTAAATCCAATGACTAGTGTCCTTATAAGGAGATACAGAGAGACACAGAGGCACAGAGGGACCGAGGGACGATGGCCATGTGAAGGAGGAGGCCGAGATCGCAGTGATGCAGCTACAAGCCAAGGAATGCCAAGGACGGCCAGCAACGGCCAGAAGCTCGGAAGAGCAAAGGATTCTTCCCCGAGGCTTCAGGAGGAGCATGGCCCTGACAACACCTCGATTTTGAACTTCTAGACTCCCAAACTACGACAGAATAAATTTCTGTTGTTTTAATGCTCCCGGGTTGTGATCACTTGTTATGGCAGCCCTAGGAAACCAATACAGCATATGACATTTCTGCTTGAAACTGATCCACTCGATCAGGTTGATATGTCAAGAGTAAATCTACTCTACCCTAATGACTAACAAAGACCTATGGACTCTATAGTATATTTTAGTAACCTCAAGTCTTTCCTTTTGTCTGTCTCACTTGTAACAATCTACTTTCTACCATTTCTAACAAAATTGGGTGCTACATTGGTACTATGGCTCTCACAAAGTCTTACTACCACTGAGGGGATGTGTGTGTGGGGGGGGTGGTTGTGAGGAGGGATCAGGTGGGCCAGTGGTTAGAACAAGGTATGGGAGAGGTCACGGCCCCAGATCCATATCCCATCCATAGCGCACCCTGCCCTAGCCAGCATCTCACAGATGTGGTGGGTCAGAGAGGTGGCTGGTCAGGGCACACTCAGTATCAGGCCTGGAAAGACAACTCGAAGCGTATGGTCTCTTCTCAGCTGCAACAGTGCTGCAACACCAAATGCCAAGGAAAACATTAAAGGGCTTGGAAATCAAACAAAACAACAGGATCTTAAGGCTAATACTGAACAGCCATACCAGTGTCTGTATTAAGTTGCAAAGGTCATCTTTTTTAGGTTGCCTAAGTGTCCTGTGACAGGCCTCATCTCTTCAGAGCACATGGCACAACCGTAATTAATTACTTGTTAAATGTCTGTCCTTCCTTCTAGAGGACAGGGGCTGAGTCTTCTTGGTCAGTGTTGTATCCCCAGGATCTGGTCAGGACCTGGCCTGCAGGAGGTGCTTAATAAGTATGCCACATGAATGAAGGAGTGAATGAATGAATGAAAGACAGGAAGGCTGGTCAGGTTGTTTCTCTGGCACAGCGTTCCTGTGTCTTGGGCAGTAACAGGCCCAGGGCATACTCACTGTCAAAGAGGATGATCCTGCCGTCACCACCACAGGGCTGGGTGTGATCCCCGAAGCAGACACTGTTGCATTCGGTGCTGGCTGCCTCCCCGTACTTCCAGTAATCAGGATTGTTTCCACAGAAGCAAGCATAGCCCGACTCCATCCCAGCAAACTGTCACAGTAGAGAAACAGCACTTGGTAAGTGTCAGTCTGGGGTGTCATCTGGCCTGAAGGAGCTTGGCAGGCTTGGCCCCCAGCCTTACCCTCCGGGTCCCTCTTCCTGGGGTATCTCCCTCGCTCCGCTCCCTCGGTGCTCATTACACACTATCAGTAACTACGTTTCCCCTTCGTCGCGCATCCCTTTTACTGCTTGCGTCTCTACTATAGTTAAGTGAGTTTTAAGGCAGGTGTTGGGGGGAACCCACTAACTTGAAACATTAATAATATATTATTATATTCAACAATATATTGAATGTTTACTGTGTGCCGGGTGGTAGGTGCTTTATGGCTAGTCCTCATCACAACCCCATTACAGGCCCCGCTAAAACTTTTCATTTTATTTATTACCATACGGTAAAACTATTTATATGGTATATAGTTCTATACATTTCAACCCATGTATAGATCTGTGCAACCACCACTACAATCAGGATACAGCACAGGCACATTGCCCCAATAACCTTCCTGTCCTGAACCTACTGCTTTCTAGCTCACCCTCCCATAAATAAACCTTGGCAACTACCTATCGGTTTGCTGTTACTATAGTTATGTTTTTTCAAGAATATCACATGCTAAGACTGAATGTTTATGTTCCCCCAAAAGTCATATGTTGAAATCTTAACTCCCAGTGAGATGGTATGTGGACGTGGAGCCTTTGGTAGGTGATTAGGGCATGAGAGCAGAGCCCTCGTGAATGGGATTAGTGCTCTTATACAAGAGACCCCAGAGAGCTCCCTAGGCCCTTCTGTCACATTGAGGACACAGCAAGACAGCGATCTATGAACCAAGAGACAAGCTCTCACCAAACACCAAATCTGCCAACAACTTGGATCTTACACTTCTAGCCTCCAGAACTATGAGAAATAAACGTTTATTGACCCAATCTGTGGTAATTTTGTTACTGCAGCCAGAATGGACTAAGACATCACATAAATGGAATCATATAGTATGTAACCTTTTGAGACTGGCTTTCCACTCAGTGCAATGTCTTTGAGATTCATCCAAAGTGGTGCATGGATCAATAGTTCACTCCTTTTTATGGCTGAGTAGTAAGACCATTGCATAGATACACCACTGTTTGTTAATCCTTTGGGTAGTTTCTAGTTATTCAAGATTATGGATAGAGTTGATATAAACATTTGTGTATAGTTTTATGTGAGCATAAGCTTTCATTTCTCCAGAGTAAATTTCATTTCTCTCAGAGTCGGGCTATACTTGCTTCTTCGGTTATTCTAGGTTATCTAGGATGCTGGGTTATATGGTAAGTTTATGGTTATAAGAAACCACTTCTAGAGTGACTGTACCATTTTACATTTGCAACAGTGTGTGAGTCCCGGTTGCTCTATATCCTTGACAGCACATGTTATTGTCAGTATATTTTATTTTAGCCATTCTAAGAGGTGTGTAGTGGTATCTCATTGTGAGTTTCATTTGCATTACCCCAGTGGTTAATGACACTGAATGTCTTTTCATGTGCTTATTCGCCATCTGTGTGTCCTCTTTGGTGAAGTATCAAGTCATGTGCCCATTTAAAAAAGTTTTTTTTAACTATTGAGTTCTTAGAGTTTTTGTATACATTCTGCATATAAGTCCTTTGCTGCATATGTGATTTGCAAATATTTTCTTCCAGGCGATGGCTTGTCTTTTCATCCTTTAAAAAATGTCTTTTACAGAGTAAAAGTTTTAAATTTTGGAGAAGTTCATTTACCAATTTTTTCTTTTATGGATCATGCTTTTGGTGTTACACCTAAGAATTTTCTGCCTAAACCCAGGTAAACCCCAGTCATGAAGATTTTCTCCCTTCTTTTCCTCTAAGAGTTCTATAGTTTTACATTTTAGTTAGACCTAAGATCCTTTTTGAGTTGAGCATGTAGTCTTTTGTATTTGACTTCTTTCAATTAGCATAATGTTTTGGCGATTCATCCATGTTGTTGTGCGCATCAGTATGTCTTACTATATCTTCTTTCTGTTGCTGAGTAGTATTCAAAAGTATGGATACAGCACAATGTATTTATCTGTTCATCAGTTAATGGACACTGAGTTATTTACAGGTTGGGACTAATCTGAATAATGCTGCTATGAACACTTACATACAAGTTTTTGTGTGAACATACGTTTTTAACTCTCTTAGGTGTATACATAGGAGTGGAATTGCTGGTTTATACGGTTATGTTTAACTTTTTGAGAAACTGCCAAACCGTTTTCCATAGCAGCTGCACCATTTTATATTTCCACCAGCAAAGTAGGAGGGTTCCATCTCCACATTTTCACTGATACTTGTTTTGCCTTTAAAAAAATTATTTTAGGGGCACCTGGGTGGCTCAGTTGGTTAAGCGTCTGCCTTTGGCTCAGGTCATGATCCCAGGGTCCTGGATCCCACGTCGGGCTACCTGCTCAGCAGGAAGTCTGCTTCTCCCTCGCCTTCTGCCCTTCCCCCTGCTTGTGCTCTCTCTCTCTCTCTCTCTCTGTCAAATAAATAAATAGAATCTTCAAAAAAAATTTTTTTTAACTATAGCCATTGGTTATTTATTGTCTGAGGTGATATCTCATTATGGTTTTGATTTGCATTGCCCTAAAGACTAATAATATGAGCATATTTCCATGTGCTTATTGGCCATTTGTATGTCTTCTATAGAGAAATGTCTATGCAACTCACTTGCCCATTTTTCAGTAGAGTTGTCCTTTTATTGTCAAGTGGTAAGAGATCTTTATATATTCTGGACATTAAATCTTTTTACAGATGATTCACAAATATTTTCTCCTATTCTGAGAGTTGTTTTTTCATTTTCTTAATAGTGTCCCTAACACTCAAAAGTTGCAAATTTTGCTGAAGTCCAATTTATTTTTTCTTTGGTTGTCTGTGCTTTTGTTATCATAACTAAAAAACCATTGCCTAATACCAAGGTCATGTGTAGTTATACCTATGTTTCTTTCTAAGAGTTCCTTCTAATAGCTAAAACTAATTACATTTAGGTCTTAGGTTCATTTTTAGTTAATTTTTATATATAAAGTGAGGTAGGAGTCCAAATTCATTCTTTTCCATGTGGATATCCAATTGTTCCAACACCATTTGTTGAAAGACTATTCTTTCCCCATTGAATGATTTTGGCACCTTGTCAAAATCAACTGACCATAAATAAATGTATGGGCTTATTTCTGGACTCTAAATTTGATTTCATTGGCCTGTATATCCATCCTTATGCCAGTACCATAGCACTCTTCTCAGTAGTGTAAGTGAAAGTTAATTTGGCTCATAGTGTGATGTAAGGACAGAGGTTCATTTTTCTTCACAAAGAGCTCCCATTTTTCTCCAGAACTATCTGTTGAAAGACCATCCTTTATCTCTGTTGAAAATCAACTGTCCATGTAAGTGCAGGTCTATTTCTGGACTCTATATGGTTTCATTGATATCTATAGCAGGAGTTGAAAACCTTTTTCTTTCTTAAAAAATCAGATAGTAAATGTTTTTGGCTTTGAGGTTCATACCGTTTCTCGTCAACTACTCAACTTTGCTGTTGCAGCATGAAAAGCATAGACAATATGTAGGTGAATGTGTGTGACTATGTTTCAGTAAAACTTTATTCGCTAGGTAGATGGGTAGAAAGATTTGGCCCACATACCACTGTTTACTAACTCCTGATCTATGCGACCATTCTTATGCCAATACCACTGTCTCGATTACTATAGCTTTATAGAAAGCCTTGATGAGTCCTCCAAAGTTGATCTTTTTCAAAATTATTTCGGTTATTCTAGGTTCTCTGCCTTTCCGTGTAAATTTTAGGATCAGCTTAATTATTAAAAAAAAAACTATCATTTTGACTGAGATTGCACTGAATCTATAAATCAATCTGGGGAAAACTGATAATTTTAATAATATTAAGTCTTCCAATCCATGAATAATGTCTGTATTTTTTTTAAAGATTTATTTATTTTAGAGAGAAAGAGAAAGTGGTGGGGAGGGGCAGAAAGAGAGAGGGAGAGAGAATCTCCAGCAGACTCCCTGCTGAGTGAGGAGCCCGATGCAGGGCTCAGTCCCACGACCCTGAGATCATGACCTGAACCAAAATCAAGAGTCAGACTCTTAACCAACTGAGCCACCCAGGTGCCCCACAATGTCTGTATTTCTATTTATTTAGATTTTCTTTAATTTTCTCTTGCAATGTTATGTAGTATTCGGTATATAGGTCTTTAATATCCTTTGTTAATTTTGAGATTTTTTTTTATGCTATTGTAAATGGAATTTAAAAATTTTATTTTCAAAAAAATTTTTTTTATTTTCCAATTGTTCACTACTAGTACATAGAAATGCAACTGATTTTTGTATATGACCTTATAACATGCAACCAAAGTGATGTTATGCTCTTAATAGGTCAGGTGGGATACAATGTCTAGTTTTCCTGTGACTAGTGATACTAACGTTAATCACTTGAGTAAGGTAGTGTATGCCAGTTTTCTCCGCTGTAGAATTCCCTTTATAATATTTTGTGGGGCAATCTTTGAGGCTATATAAATATCCTGTTCCTCATGCAACTTTCACCCACTAGTAGAGGAGGTCATGGGATATTTACATATCTTGATATTTGTTCTCCGAATCAATTATCACTATGATAGTTGCCAAATGGAGAATTTTCTAATTCCAACATTTCTTTTACATTTGTTAGTTGGCATTCTCCTATACGAAAATGCCTTTCTTCTCCTCATTTATTTGTTCACTTATTTATTTATATCAGTGTGGATTTGTAGATTCTTATTTTATTCAATGGGGCATATTTACTGTTAACATTTTTTTATTTTTATTTTTTTTAAAGATCTTATTTATTTATCTGACAGAGAGAGAGAGCACAAGCAGGGGGAGCAGCAGAGGGAGAGGGAGAAGCAGGTTTCCTGCTGAGCAGGGAACCTGATGTGGGGCTCGATCCTAGTACCCTGGGATCATGACCTGAGGTGGAGGCAGACACTCAACTGACTGAGCCAGCCAGGTGCCCCTATTGTTACCATTTTTTTTTGTTTTGAAGCTCAAATTATGTTAGAGTTGGCCAATGGAGCCTCTTCCAGTTGGTTCCTGTGTCCTTTTCACAAGCCCTCACCATTCCTTACTTTATTGTACAACATGCTTCAGGCTCCTCTTGCACTTTCTCAGGACCAGCTCTAGAATCGGCAATTTTCTCCAAGGAGCCCTAATTCTTACTTAATGAAGAACAATATCTAGAAACCAAGATCTGAGCACTAAGTGTGCTCTGTGCAACCAGTGTGTCAATGTTCCCAGGTCATCTCAGTGGACAGAGATAAGAAATATATATGTATATACAAACACACACACGGACCTACAAACATGTTTATATTTATTTCCGTATCTGTCTCTCTATATATCAAAACCATACACTACAAATAGCTTTAATCCCTGTCTGACACTATAGGTTTCAGTTTGGTTTTCTCTGGCTCCCTTCTCCAACAGTGAGAAATCTGGCTCCCATTATCCTCAGTATATTTACTTATATGCTTTGCAAGCAACCAATTACTCCATCCTGTTGGGCCACCTGCCTCACAAAGCCCTTGACCTTGCCAGTCTACTCTCCTTGCTTGGGCCTGATTAGTGGCTTTTTCACTGAATTATTAAGGAAGGACAAAAGAAAGGAAGGAAGAAGGAAGGAAGGAAGGATATAGCAAACAATAGCATTATTGAACCTTAACAGCCAAGGAGTGAATTGCAAATAGAGGAAAGGACAGAAAGAAAAGAAGTATTTTGTCCAGGCTAGGGCCCCTAATGTAGCAAGGAAATAACCACTACCTTGGCCTATTCCCACATCCCCTGTGAAGCCAGAGATGTCCCTGCTTATAACATTCAAGGGCACAAGGAAATACATAAGTCTGTCAGAGGTCAAAGAGGAATATAGATATTGGGGATTTTCCTCTTTTCTCTCCCCGTCTTTAGACAAGAATGCTGTCTCACACTCCTGAACGCCAAGCCGCACTCTTCCTTCAGTTCCTCCTTGGCAGAAAAATAGTTACATGGTTCGATAGGTTTAAAAAAAAGTATATATATTTTTAAGTTATCTTGGCAGATTGCATTTACATCTTCGTGGGGCGCCTGGGTGGCTCAGATTGTTAAGCATCTGCCTTCGGCTCAGGTCATGATCCCAGGGTCCTGGGATGGAGCCCCACGTCTGGCTCCTGGCTCCTGGCTCAGTGGGGAGCCTGCTTCTCCCTCGCCCTCTGCCTCTCCCCTGCTCATGCTCTCTCTCTCTCTGTATCTCTCTTTCTCAAATGAATAAATAAAATCTTAAAAAAAAAACCCAAAAACTATCATCATGCTTTTCTATAGATATTTGGCCATAGAATCATTACCTTGAACCTCTGACTCCGACAAAAACTGATGCAGGTTTGTATGGTAAGTTTGTTAGATGTTTTACTGGCGCCAGTTAGAGGAGGTGGGTTTCCATGATCCTTGTAGCAGCCAAGGTTTCCAGGCACTGGAGGAAAAAGAAAAACAAAAGAATTTCACAACATCTGGCTGTGAAACACCAAGAAGGAACAGCGATTTGTGCCAGGTACTTTCATCTCAGCTACTATTTCTACTCCTAAGGTACACATAAATAACAAGCAACAAGCTTCAAAAATGGAATCTTAGTATCTTCTGGCAAATGCCATGTTTCTGTTTTCTTCTGAAGAGCATGTGAGGCCCAAGGTCCACCTTTAACTAATCTGTTCAATATTGATAGAATTGAGCATTGAAGAGAACTAGGAATAATTTCCTTAAAATAGAGAAGTTGCAATATGTGAATTATGTTTCAGAGTCACTGGAGGGCAGGAAAAGCCCTTGGAAGCCCTTCATCCTATGCCTTGTGCCTCCCCTTGTTCTTTTTTTTTTTTTTTGATTTATTTATTTATTTGAGAGAGAGAGAGAGAGAGGGAGGGAGGGAGAGAGAGTGTGTGAGTGGAGAGGGAGAGGAAGAAGCAGACTCCCAGCTGTGCACAGAGCCTGACATGGGGCTCGATCCCACGACCCATGAGATCATGACCTGAGCTGAAACCAAGAGTTGGACCCTTAACCAACGGAGCCACCCAGGCACCCCTCCCCTTGTTCTTCAAAAAACTCCATTAAGGGGTTCTCCCAAGTGCTTTCAGGGAGTGTATTAGTATCCTATAGCTGCTGTAACAAATTACTACAAACCTAGTGGCTTAACACAGCATAAATTCATTATCTTACAGTTCAGGAGTTCAGAAGCACTAAATGGATCATATGGGACTGAAATCAAGGGGTCAGCGGGGACTTGTTCCTTCTGGAGACCTGGCAGGGGGTGGGGGGTGTTCCTTGCCTTTTCCATCTACTGGAAGGTGCCCCTGTTCCTCAGCTTGTGACCACACCATTCCAGCCTCTGTCTCCATCACATCTCCTTCCCTCCCTCTGCTTCTAGCACCACATCACCTTCTCTGATTCTGATCTTCCTGCCTCTTTTATAAGGACCTCTGTGATGACATTGGGCCTGCCTGGATAATTCAGGATAATCAACCCATCTCAAAATCCTTAACTTGATCACATCTGCAAATCCCTTATGCTACGTAAGATAACATATTAAAAGATTCCAGGGATTACAACATAGACATTTTGGGGGGCCATTATTCAGCCTACCACGGTGAACATACTAGTGTTTCACAACCACACAACTGGATGGTTTGGTCTGGTAAAAAAAGCTGTATTTGAGAAAAAAGAAACCTGAATATATGTATTAACTGTGGTAGATAGCTTTCAAAGACGGCACTCAATGATCCCCACCTCCTGGTGTTCATGTCATGCCATTGTGGAATCCCCTCCTTTTGAGTGTAGGTTGGATTAGTGACTTGCTTCTGACCAACAGAATGTGACAAAGCTGATGGCATGTCACTTCTGTGATTAGGTCAAGAGACTATGACTTCTGTCTGGTTAGTAGACTCTCTACTGCCTTCTTGGCCTATGTACTTTGATAGAACAATACACTATATCAGAGAGGCCATGAGGCAAGGAGCTGAAGGTGCCCTTTGACCAATGTCTAGCAAGAAACCATGACTTTCAGTTTTTGCAAAGACTTAATCCTACCAACAACTAAGTATAGTCTTCCCCAGTGGGGCCTTCAGATGAGATCCCAGTCCTGGCAGACACTTATTGCAGGCTTGTAAAAAACCTGGAAGAAGAGGGTCCAGCTAAGCCATGTCCAGATTTCCTGACCCATAGAAATGAAGACAGTAAGTGTGTGTCATTTTAAGTAACTAAGTTCCAGGGTCGTTTGTTGTACAGTAATGAATAATTAATACATCTACATAATACATACTAAATACATGTTGAATGAAGGAATGAATTGATTGTAGGCTATGGACAAATCAACCTTTCTGGACCTTAGTTTTCCATCTGTGTTAGTAATTTATGAATCACTCCACTATCAGATGAAGCCCTTTCCCCTACTTTCTCTGTTTGGCTTTTCAGTTTATGTAACTGAAGATATAATAAGACATGTAATGAGGCTTGGTCCTAGAAGCACTTCTAGGTCAGTTAAGAGTTATATGTTATCCAATTCCAAAGTGAGCCATACAAACTCTCAGAAAGCATTTTTTCTTTGTGTTTAAGACTAGAAAACAGAGGGGCACTGGATGGCTCAGTTGGTTAAGCGTCTGCCTTCAGCTTGGGTCGTGAACCCAGGGTTCCTTCAGCTTCCCTGCTCAGTGGGAAATCTGCTTCTCCCTCTCCGTCTGCCTCTCCCCCAGCTTGTGGTCTCTCTCTCTCTCTCATTTGCTCACTCTCTCTAATAAATAAATAAAATCTTAAAAAAAAAAAAAAGACTAGGAAACAGGGGTGCCTGGCTGGCTCATTCAGTGGAACGTGTGACTCTTGATTTCAGGGCTGTGGGTTCGAGCCCCAAGTTGGGTGTAGAGATTACTTAAAATTAAAATCTTAAAAAAGAAGACTAGAAAACAGCATGGTCCCAGTTCAACAAACTTTACATTCACATTAGCTTGTCGGCATATAAAAATATAAGTGTGTATCTGTGTGTAGGTACACACTTTTAAATTTCTGCCACCATCTAATATCTAACCAGTTCCTGTTAAATTGGCAGGAAGTACCACTGCTAACCCAAAAAAATCACCCTTCCCCCTCCAGCCAAGTGGTTACTCCTTCTCCCTTGCGTCACACATGGTTCAAATATAACAAATGTGGCTCACCACACAAATGTTAAAATGCATCTTTTGGAAACAAACCAAATCTCTATAGTGGCGAATGTAAACAGAAAAGCTCTAGGCAGTAGGAGGCTGGTGTTCAGTGGGAGCCTGGCTTGGGAATGGCTGCGTTTTAGAGTTTAAACAAATGCAGTGAGTTAAGCATCTCTAGTCAGGGGCATATCCTGTAAGCCCAGTTTGTTAAACGGACCTTGCATATGGAAACCTGAGCCATGCATTCAATAGTTCTTAATAAGAACTACTTGATTATCATCATCCTGGTCATTTACTCTGATTTTTGTCTCATTTATTCTATTATGATCAGAAGTAAGCATGTTATTATGTATTAGTTAATAGACAGCCCAAGGCACATAATCATAAATGTTAAGATTAGACATAAACAAGGCTATGGGTTGCATTAATGCAGCTGGAACTTATAAGCTTTATTCACAATTTGGTGAGCAAATCCAGGCAGCTCATGTTCCAGTGGGGTAGTGAGGTAGACCCCTGGAAATCAGACTATACCATGCTGCAGATCCATTTTTCTGATTTCAGTGGCCTGAGGTATCAAGTCTGTCGTGCCCAAGTCAATCACTTGCCAGACACCAGTGAGTCTACCTCCCAAGATACTGCAGACGTTTGTCCATGTCTCTGTCTCCACACTGCCACCTCCCCCAGTTAGGCCACCGTCTCCTCCCACTTAGACTACTGCATTGGCTTCCTATTCCATCTCCCTGTTTCTAGGTACACCCTACTCTATAATCTAGGTAGTACACTGCAACCAGAATAATCTTTACTGTATATTCCAGGCAGAAGGAAGGGCAAGAGCAAAGGCCTAAGGCAAAAACAACGTTGGCCTTTGCAGGAACAAAAAGGAGTGAGGACGACCAATGACAGAGAGAGGGAAGAATAACAGGAGCTGGAGGGGTAGGCAAGGGCCCTGCCTAAAAACCTTCGAAGTCCCTCAGGATGAAGTCCAGACTCTCTCATATGGTACACAAGGCCCTGCCTGATCTGTGCTGCTTGCTCCCCTCCCCCTTCTGCATGACCCCTCTCTCTATCCCTCAGCTCACGTTCTAGATGAAAGCCAAATTATAGTGTATTTGCGAGTTTCCCCATGGCACATTGCTCTCTGGACTTTTACACATACTCTTTCCTTTGCCTGGAATTCCCTCTCCTGCTTAACACTGTAGCCTGAGCACTATTTCCCTGGGGAAGCATCCCCCGCCCCCCCCAAATAAGGTTATATGCCCCTGCTGTGTGGTCCTGTAGCAGCCTACGGAGCCCTTGATTCTAAACACCTGGGGTTCCCTGGGTGGCTCAGTTGTTGGGCGTCTGCCTTCGGCTCGGGTCATGATCCCAGTGTCCTGGGATCGAGCCCCGCATCGGGCTCCCTGCTTAGCGGGAAAGCCTGCTTCTCCCTCTCCCACTCTCCCTGCTTGCATTCCCTCTCTCGCTGTCTCTCTCTCTGTGTCAAATAAATAAATAAAATCTTTAAAAAAATAAACACCTGTTCCTATGTCTCTCTCCCCAACGAACCATGAATGACTTAAGGGTAGGACTGTATCTTCCACACACTGTTGTATTCCCAGGGCCTGGTAAGGTCCCAGTTACAGAGCTTGTGCTCTAAAACTGCACGCAGATGCACAGGCATGTTCTGCACCACCAGCAGGAATCATGGAGGGAGTGGGTAAAGGTACTTCTTAGGCGGCAGTGGAGGAACAGAGCAGGGCGGAAGTAAAAGGCAGAGCTGACCTCCGTAACAACACCCACTTAAAGCTAGTGACTGCTGGTTCTGACTCCTGCCTGCACACTGTCCTCTCTGGCTATTAGAGACACGATTCAAGGTAACTGAGTTTTCCAGAAAGGTTAACTTGGAAACTTAAAGTTTTATCCTCATCATTTTGGACAGAACCTTTCTAAAATGCATTAGCTATTTCTTTAAAAACAAAAACAATAACAAAAAAACTTAACTCAGTTTAACCTACTTTATTTTTTAATTTTTTTTAAAAACAATCTTTTTCTTTTTTTTAAGATTTTATTTATTTATTTGAGAGAGAGAGAATGAGAGATAGAGAGCACGAGAGGGAAGAGGGTCAGAGGGAGAAGCAGACTCCCTGCTGAGCAGGGAGCCCGATGTGGGACTCGATCCCGGGACTCCAGGATCATGACCTGAGCCGAAGGCAGTCGCTTAACCAACTGAGCCAGCCAGGCGCCCTATTTTTTAAATTTTTTAAAAAGATTTTATTTATTAGAGAGAGAGAGAGAGAGAGCACAAGTGGGC